ATCGGGACGCATACAATAAAATTATAACACCAATATGTGTCCCGGAGGTCCAGAGACACCATCCAGGTACCCGGTGCCAAAAGCCACCAGACCTGAGACAGAGTGGTCATCCAAAAGGAGGGGCAAAAGTCCCAGGGATTCAGACTAGACAATTCCAGTATGAATCACAGAACCACACAGTCTCGTTTTGGAACTGAAAACAGGTGGGAAACCCAGCTGAGGGACATTGTCGTTTCGACCACACCCAAGCCAACCCACTCTTTGGAACTTTAAGAACAAGAGGTCATAGATATAAACTAGCTAAACACAGATGCCGAAGAAATATAAGAAAATTCACTTTCGCAAACAGAGTGGTAGACGGTTGGAACAAGTTAGGTGAGAAGGTGGTGGAGGCCAAGACCGTCAGTAGTTTCAAAGCGTTATATGACAGAGTTTTGGGAAGACGGGACACCACGAGCATAGCTCTCATCCTGTAACTACACTTAATTAATTACTCACAGATGACCTGACAGAGCACAAGAGAAGAGGCCTGCCCTGCCGGCCCCGATCCTCCCTAAGGAGGAGGAGCGACCCAACACAGGTCGGAGGAAACGACCCGAAATGCCCACGAATCATGGGACCAGGCGAGAGCAAACAGCGCGAGCTTTCCCCCCCCTATCGCCCCATCAACAGGGCAACCCACGAAAAGGCCGACGACTCCTATGAGAGCCCAGCCGATGCTAAGAGCGATCACTGTGCCGGCCAGACGCCAACAGCTCCAGAGGAGGTGCCTGCCCCGAATCTGGCACTACTGGCTTATTACTACCGAAGGAACCCCGAGACCTAGCACGACCCTACCGGGCAGGACCTCCATGGCCCCCCTGGAGACCCTACAAATCCGACAAAGGCCGTCAACTAGACGAAGCCGCCTGCAGAAAAACCACCACAGCAGACTCTGCAAATGGCAACGGACAAAAAGGTGATGAAAATCTAAGAGCCAGGGCCCAAGACGATTCAAAAAATTTGGACGAGCACCGCCTGTCAGCACGCGAGGCAAGAAGTGAAGAACAGACATCGCCTCCCTCAGAAACGGCGCATACAACTTCACCAAAGCAGCCGGCGCCCGAGATTCCAAAGCAAGCACACCGAACCCTAGCGCGGAACCCAGCTCCTCCACACTCAGCACGAGACAGTCTAATGATAGCTCCAGCAGGGAAAAGAAGCACAAGACCGAAGCCAAGTGCCTATGGGCGCACAAATCCTCGGCCAACAGGGATGCCGCAAGGGAGGGAACCTGCACATGAAGCCGCACCTCGCCAACATCATAAGGAAGGACGGGAGTGAACTAGCACACCTAAAGGTGCTCCAACTCACCCCCCAGGAAAACCTAAACGACCATATTCAACTCTCGCCATTCAAGTGCACATTCCAACAAAATGAATGCCAAGCCCCCAAAGAAGAAAACGCAGTCTGCCAGCCAGGAAGTCTCTGGCACCTTGTAATGCACCCAATAAAGAAAAAGAGGAGCCAAACTCAAAAAGAAGGCTTCGTTATCAAGGCATAATCCTGGTCTCGCGGGAGGTAAGCCGCAAGCCGCTCCCACACCTTCCTCGGTGGGATGCGGGAAGCAAAAAACCTCCAGGAGGGAACCAAAGAACCCAAGGGAACTCGGACCCGAACCTGGGGAGGAGTCGAACTCATAACAAAATCGTACAGGGAGGGGGAAAGGAAAACCCCTCCCCCCTGTAACAACAAGCCCTGTGCCGAGGGTACCAAACACCCAAGCAAGGACAAGTGGGGCTCAGGCCCCCCCCCCCCAAGTCAACTCCTCCCCAGCCCCGGAATCCTCCACGTCAGGACCCGGGGCCGAGCCGTCCTCCAAACCCTCTGCCTTTGGAGAAAAAGCAGAGTCCACTGGAAAAGCAGGGATGAAGGGGGCCCGCTGGCGTGGCCCAAAAGCTCTGGCAGGAGGACCAGGCTCAAATGCCTCCGCTGCCGATCCGGAAGGGGGAATCCCTGAAGCCACCCGAGTCTCACTACCAGTATAATTCAGCGGGGCAGCTGCAGGGCATCTGGAAAGACAACCAACCTCGCACGTTGCAGCAACTTAAACCTTGCATGCAACTCTAAAGCTGCCTGCACTTAAATATCAGTCTCAGTGGACTGGGTGAATGGAGTACAAATAAAGAACACCACTCGCAGGACTCCGAGGTCTAAGGTGTCACTGACCCCAACAAGCAGCAAGGCAGAGGCAGACGGTGAGTGTCACCCCAAAACAGGGGGACAGAGCAACCTTCAAACTCGCACAAGGTGAGGTGGGACTCAGAGGTCTCCTACATTGGACCACTGAGCCCCAATGGGGGTTTCCAGGGCCCTAAGGCTGACTGCTAAGGGAAGCCCAGGCTAGGTACTGCTAACCGGTTATCCCAGAGCTACCAAGCAAACAATCTAAAAGCTGAACCCCTGCGACGTGTGCAAGCACGGGGACCTAGTGGAGGGCCACCAAAAACCTACCAGTGGTCCTACCGCCACACCTGGCAGACCCCTGCCAGGCAAAACAAAACAATAACAAAGGAAAAACTCCGCAAAAGCACAACGTCTCCAGGAGAACAGAACCGGTCGCTATGCGTATATCAGACAGCTGCACAGTACCTCGCGCCCCAGCCAGCGACGAAACTACCTCCTAACCCAAAGGAAAACAGGAGTAAGAACCTCCCCAGCTGATCCCCCAAGGGCGGGCAATCACCGAGCAGCAAAAGAACCAAACGGAGGTAGCTGCTCCTGAATGGCTCATGGAAGATAACCCTGAAGTCGCAAAGGCAGTACTTACAGGGCACCTAGGGAAGGCGGCCCTAGGTGCATGCAGCCCCAGTACTCTTGTGTTATGTCTGGCTCACACACCACCAAAACAGAGCAACAACACCGCACTGCAGCACTGCGCAAAGAATGGAGGCAGAGCGATCGACCGTCACCAACACAACAGCCTCTTGAACTGAGGAGAGTTGTCGGCATGGAGGTCTGGGACCCCCAGTCCCTCTCCCGGGGAGTGGGGGGATTGCGCAGACAGATGCGCGGCGTTTGTGGTGACGTCATACTTGTTTCCTTGGTTTTGATTGGGGAGTTCTGTTGCTAGTTCGGCTTTCGGTTTGCAATTTATTTGATCAGCAGTAGTTTGTTTTGGAATTCCTACCTTTCTGGGTGCCTGACCTGGTAGATGGCAGACAAAGACTGCTTCCAATTACACGGGGGTGTCTTTAGGCCATTGCTCCTCGTGCCTCTCTTGAGGGGGCCAGGTTCTGGCTCTGGTCCCCGGTAGGCCTAGAACTCCTTCGATTGACTGTTGCCACGGTCTAATATATACACATCAGCCTGGTATAGCTCCGGGGAGCCGAAGGGGCTCTCCACAGAAAAATTGAAAGAAAAAGCATTGTAAAAGATTTTAGGAGTAATCATATCAGAAGATCTTACTTTTAGAGAAAACAAAAAAGTTGCTGTCACAACCGCAAGAAAAATTATAGGTTAGATAACAAGAACCTTCCAAACAAGAAATGCCATGCCAATGGTGATACTGTTTAAGACATTAGTGCTCTCTAGAGTGGAATACTGTATGTCGCACATTAACAGCCCCATTCAAAACTGGAGAAATTGGTGACATGGAGTGTGTGCAAAGATCTTTTACCACTAGAATCTATTCAGTAAAACATCTAAATTATTGAGACTGCCTAAAAATGTTAAATCTGTATTCCCTAGACCACCTAGGTTTTAAAGGTATTCCCTTGGTTCTAAATCAGTACACATAATAAACTCTGTATAACACGAGACCAGTTGGCATGGTAAGATTTATAAAATAGCCCCACTGAAAGCAGAGGTGCAGTAGGCACACTGAGGGAGAACTCTATCAACCAAAAAGGTCCAAGACTTTTCAACATGCTTCCCCTACATATATGGGGCATAACTGGCTAACCCTTCTCATCGTTCAAAAGATAACTCGACAGGCACCTTCAAATGATACACGATTCATCAGGCTGTGACTCGCTCATCACGTATCGAAGAACCTAGTTGATCAGACCAGCAATCAAGAGGCCTGGACAGTAGGGATGTTGATCCACTGAATCATCAACAGATAGTCAATCTAAAGAGGAACCCACTGCTGAAAAATAAAGAAATCCCTAAATAAATTACCTTCGTAACGAATTAAAATGCTGTCCAACCTATGCCTTATTCAAAAGTAAAACCAAAAAGTACCTAATTTCATCCACATACTTTCCTACCTAGCGCCTCAAACTCGCACTGTATTTTATGCTACCCACGCTCCAATATATTTGCCTAAGCCATGCGCCATTGTCATCAATGCTATCAACCTATATCATGGTTGTTATGTTGAGCAAAAATTTTAGTACAATGTACCTAATAATATTCCTCAAATTATGCTACAATGTACCTGTTGATAATCCTCAAATTTTACTACAATGTACCTATTAATATTCTTCAAATTTTGTTTCAAATTACCTACTTAAAATTATCTGTTAGATTAAGGACCTGCCTGTAATGCTGTGTGTGTGTGTGTGTGTTAGTGGCTTTGCAAGAATGTAGAAACATCAATGCTATGTACTCTCATAAAGCAATTAACCTTCTTGTATATACTGTATATAAATAAATAAAAAGTAAATAAACTGAACCAGAACAGAGACAAGACAGTAAGTGGTCAGTTAAATTTTTAGATTTTTTTTTCCAAGAACATTTAGGCATTTATGTAAAAAATATATACAATTTTTGTTTCTACTGAATACAGTATACCACTTGAATTCACCCTAAGGCAAGATCATGAGTCAGGTCTGGGTGACATTCTGCATTAGTGTAACATGGATCTATTTAAATGTCACACAGGTCATACTGTGTGGCAGTGAGAAAGTGTTGCAAAACTGTGCAAGGTGGTAAGACCACCAAATGCTTATTTTTATTTAATTAAACTTGTTTACCCATGTAGTTTAATATATTAATGTAGTTAATTGTAATTACAGGAGTCGGAGAGGCAAGGGAAAGGGACGTCGTAGGGGTTAATGAGCAGCGTGAGGGCTACTTCACTATTGCTATTGTATGGACTAGTCTTCCAGCGAGGTGGGGAACAGGGATGCCGTCAGAACTGCCTACTACCCCTGCTTCCTACAGTGACACAACTATTTCTGGAGCCAGATATGTTTCAAGACGTATCCCTCCAGTGGTACATTGTTATTATTGATGATGAATAGGGCAACTATTCATAAAGGGATAATTGTGCCTTGATGCAGTGAACATGTACTGAGCCCATCAGGTTTACAGATACATGCGCCCTCTGCCACCTCAGAATGCTATTACTTCTGCAATACCATGTGTCTTCTTGTATCCTAGTCCACGGAATCCTTGTGTTTCCATGAAGGTTGTCTTAGGTGTTATAAGACAGGATGACCATTGCAAACTTTCGGCTACTAGAAGTGCCACATGATACCTTTCTCTCTGGCATCAAATTTAATCAATCCAATGTGTTCATCTTTATTATTAGATCTTGAAAGCTCTGTAAGAGAATATTTTTTAAATTTTGACTAATATCACAAATTGAATGCACACTGTGAAAAGAAAGACACAATATTAATTAAAAAATAAGTTTGTGATTGAGACTAATTTCTGGGAAACTTGTTGTAGTTGAAGCAGTAGTAAAAGTATAATGTCTGTAACTGATATATTTGTGGTGTGAGAGCTTATGTGTGAACCCCAGATGCTTGGTGGTGTTGTATGTGACCCCTTGTTAGTGTTGTTCCTAGTGTAATATTATCCTCACTGATGATAAGGGTGAGCTTCTTATAGTTGATACTGCTCCCATCATAATTTTCATGCTAAAATTTCTACTAATACTCTGCCTCTGTAAGTATTTTCCTATCTGACTGCACAGTGATCAGTTTGCAGCCTTTCTGTGGCTACTCGAGCTTTTTCACCTTTTTTATAGCTGACAATGGTGCTACCAGGATGAATGTTTTACTTCTTATTTAGGTGTATCATAGTTTTATAACTTAAGTTTTTAATAATAATTTAATAAACTTCGCCATCAACACTGCCATTAATTATTTCATATTTGAATTTGAGTTGGTTTGAAAGCAAATCATTTAATTTTATTATTATTATTATGATTAACTTTATGACTGCCACTCATATTTTCAAGTCTATTAGTGTATAGTCAACAATCAATTCTACAGTCAGGCATCATATATGTTTCATTATAAATCAGTATCTCCTATGGTGTCTCAAATCTAATGTGAATACTAATGTCCTTATACAGTAATTGGCTTTTTATAAAGTAACATTTGCAAAACTTGCCTTATAAAATTTGTATTGTACAAGGTTTCAAATCAAATAATAGATGTCCAACTGTCAAAACCAAAATGTGATAATAATTGAGAAAATTTATCAGATTTCTCTTACTGTACTCATTTAATTGTAATAAAAACTGACTAGCCTCACTCTTTGTATATTCAGTGCAATGAGCTTTGTGGTCTTGGCTTTGTCAAGTGTTAGGTAAATAAGGTTTTGGGTTTCTACTCTGAGAATACTCATCTTAACCACAGCAGTTGCGACACAAGACCGAAATCTCTTGGTCGTCTTTGTAATGCCGTGACTACCGAGTCTCCTTACATGCACGTTGATTTTGTAAGTATGGTGTGGCATCTCATCCCATCTAGTGTCTTAATTTATAAATGATGCTCCCCAAATCTTCTTATACATGGTCTTGGAGTTTGACCAGAAGGAAGAGCTGTCCAATTGTTGCCTTCATGTTCTCTTCCCCCAGTATAGTTCAAGTGAAGAAGTTGTTGTTGTTAGTGAGATTCTTGTTACACCTCTTACCTGTGTGAATAGTTATTACCAATATTTTGGAAAACATAAGGTCCAATTTAGTATCATTATCATATAAACATGAAATCATGAGATTGATTAATTAAAACCTATGACTAAAGTAAGTGCATTATGTGAAATATTCCAATGTTTATTAAATTCCATATAATAAAGCCTATACTGTATATCCTATAAAATACCAAATAATGTAAATCAATTTTAAACTAATTTCAAACTATTTACAGTAGGTGAATGCCATTCAGAGAATGCTAAATTATGTAAGATGTGCTTAGGATGAAAACTTACTAGAAATGAACTTAAATGAAAGAATCTTGATTCTCCCACAACTACTTGTGCTGTGCAGCAATATTCTTTGCTAATCAGTTTGTTAATGGTTCAAGCAGCTGCTGCCTCTGTTTCTATTGATACCCACAAGTAGAAGACAGTTTCACTACCTATATTATGTGGGTGCAGTGTTGTGATGCAGTTATAAAAATATAAAAATTTTCCTTAGAAATTCTTTGAAATAAATGTAGAATATTTATTGGATTTTATTTTGTAATTATCCTGAACTGATGTGCCAAAAAATTTAATTGCATTCAGTTAAAAATATAATATTAACTTTGAGGCTTTTACAACACAACTGCTGCATACAGAATTGACAACATAACTTGACTGACCTTAATTCAAATTGGGACCTCTCTCTTGCTCTAGCCATTGACACTCAAACCTCTTGGTCTGGTTTGTAATGCAGTGATTATCAAATCTTTCAAAAAATACTGTATGCTATTTTCTTAAGTAGGATGTGGCATACCATCCCATTAAATCTTGCCAACTTGTCAATGTTGCTCCCCAAATCTCCATAAACATGCTGTAGAACTTTGGCCAGGAGGCAGAGCTGCTGAACTTTTACACATGTTGTAAATTGTCTATCTCCAATAGTTTGGAGCATGTGAATCTAATGAGATTGAATAATTAAAACTTAATTAGATTGCAGTGTATAAAATGTCCCAGTATTCATTTAAGTTCATCTAAATGTCTATAATTCTTGTAAATGCAAAATGGTTATGCAAATCAAAATGCAGACATTTCTATAAATAGGACCACAAGAAATCAACATAAATGAAAGATTCTCAATTCTCCCACAAAGATGCTTGTGCTGTGCAGTGCAGCAGTATTCACTGACCAGTCTGTTGATGGTTCAGGCTGCTGTTACTTCATTTGATGTCTACAAATAAAATGAAGTGTTATTACTTGCCTACAATTATGTGGGTTCTATGTTGTGAAGCAGTCAATTACAAAAATACAATCTTTCCCTTGAATTTGTCTGCAAAATAAATAAGAGAACACACAATTGGATTTTATTTGTAAATAACCTTAACCTATGCAATATTCAAAATATATGGTGTGTAATTACTTAAGTGTAGTTACAGGATGAGAGCTATGCTCATGGTGCCCTGTCTTCCCAGAACAGTACTCTTTGTTATACAACATTTTGAAACTATTTGTACTAATGGTTTTGGCCTCCACCACCACCTCACTTAACTTGTTCCAACCGTCCACCACTGTTTGCAAAAGAAAATGTGCTATTATTTTTTTGGTAACTTTATTTCCTTAGATTGAATCTGTGTCCTGTTATTCTTGAAGCTGCTGGTTTCAGGAATTCCTCTTCGTCAATTTGGTCGATTCGTGTTATTATTTTGTATGTGGTGATCGTATCACAGCTTTGATTTTGATAAGTGGTGATCATATCACCTCTTTCTTATAGATGTTGTTTTCTTCTAGTTTTTTAGTATCCAATCTTTCAGTTTTGGCATATTTAACACCTCTCATCGAAATCTAGTTTTTCAGTTCTGAAAGCTATTTTGTAGCATGCCTTTGCACCCTTTCCAGTTTACTTATGTGCTTCTTTGAGATATGGGCACCGTACAGCTGCTGCATTTTCCAATTTTGGTCTTGCAAAAATCATGAACAGTTTCTTTAGTATTTCACCATCCATGTAATTTAAAACAAGTCTAAAACTGAAGTCATGCATATTCTCCTCTCACAATGTTCTTTGTGTTCCTCTGGGGACAGTTTACTATTCAAAACCCACACATAGATACACATTGAAATCACAATAGCATGATCCATCAAATGAACAAATCCACAAGGGAAGTGATGAGGGTTTGAACCTACATCCAGGATGATCCCAGATGCGCCTTGGTTGATTACACCACAACATGGTCAAAAGAATTGCAACCAGGAGTGCTACTGCTCTCACACGGATCCTGCAGCCTCTCTGAGACACAAACCGGATTTTTACCCTCACCATGGCCCTTATGGATTTGTTCATTTCAAGTATCACACTATTGTGATTTCTGTGTATATTGACATAAGGGCAAAGAGGTAGACCAGCTTGTTGACAGAGCCCGGGGTGCATTGGGGAAATTGTGTAAAATCTCTGGTTTGCGTCTCGGAGAGGCTGTGGGATCTGTGTGAGGGCAGTAGCATTCCCGGTTGCAATTCTTTTGACCATGTCATGGTGCAATCGACTAAGGTGCGTTTGGGATCATCCTGGATGTAGGTTCGTACCCTCATCATGGCCCTTGTGGAATTGTCCACACATAGATCTTGTTCTTTATTAGAGTTCTTTAATTCCTTTCCATATACTGTACTGTAATTTGTAAGTATGTGTGGTCTATTTTCTCCAATTCCACATTCCATACCATGGCATTTATTCATATTGAAATCCATTTGTCTCATGTCGCTCCAAGCACTTATTTTTGCTAAATCAATATGAAGGGCATGACAATGTTCTAGGCTTCCTGTTTTTCCTAGAAGCTGATTTCCATTAGTAAACATGTTCATATAATTCTATATTCTTTCTGGTTGATAATTTATGTAGATGATAGGCATTATTGGCACAAGAACTGAACCCTGTGGTACTCCACTATTGACATTCCTCTGATCAGATACATTGAGCCAGAACCTGGTGTTCCGAACCTTAATGGAATCTGATCCATATATCAATCAGGTCAACCCATGTGTTGCGTTTCCAAAAGGGTCGCCCATGTTAGAATCGGTGAACGCCCTAGTAATATTGTTGAAAACATCTTAATAACTTATTAAACCAAAGGTCTTTTCATGTCAGAAGAACGGCAGAAACTGGATCTATATATGAAAACTCTTTCAGGACAAAATTTAAAGTAAAACTAAAGATATTTGTAGTTGTATAAAAGTTGCATTTTTCATCGGTCGTAGAGCCGGAAATCTGCAATATTCATCTCAGAACAATGCTTATTTCACGCAGAATCGTTAATAAACGTAAGATTGTTATACGTCTCAAGAAAGATAGAAACATAATCTTCATTTTAAATGCCTTACCATGGGCATATTTGTATTTAAAGCGAAGATACGTGTATTTTTCTAATCGGCGAGCTCCGATCCCGCACAGATCGAGCAACGGAGTAACTCTCTCTCAGAACAATGCTTATTTCACGTAAATTCGTTAATAAACGCAAATGTTTTTATATGTGTTGAGAAAGATAGAAATATAAGCTTCATTTTAAATACTTTACCATAGATATATATAAAGTTCTAATGAAGATACATGTGTTTTAATAATCGCCGAGCTCCGACCCCGCACAGACTGATCGACAGAGCAACTCTTTTTTTTTTTTTTTTTTTTTTGAGATATATACAAGAGTTGTTACATTCTTGTACAGCCACTAGTACGCGTAGCGTTTCGGGCAAGTCCTTAATCCTATGGTCCCTGGAATACGATCCCCTGCCGCGAAGAATCGTTTTTTCATCCAAGTACACATTTTACTGTTGCGTTAAACAGAGGCTACAGTTAAGGAATTGCGCCCAGTAAATCCTCCCCGGCCAGGATACGAACCCATGACATAGCGCTCGCGGAACGCCAGGCGAGTGTCTTACCACTACACCACGGAGACTGTTTACAGTCTCCGTGGTGTAGTGGTAAGACACTCGCCTGGCGTTCCGCGAGCGCTATGTCATGGGTTCGTATCCTGGCCGGGGAGGATTTACTGGGCGCAATTCCTTAACTGTAGCCTCTGTTTAACGCAACAGTAAAATGTGTACTTGGATGAAAAAACGATTCTTCGCGGCAGGGGATCGTATTCCAGGGACCTGCCCGAAACGCTACGCGTACTAGTGGCTGTACAAGAATGTAACAACTCTTGTATATATCTCAAAAAAAAAAAAAAAAAAAAAAAAAAAAAAAAGCTCAGAACAATGCTTATTTCACGTAAATTCATTAATAAACACATATGTTTTATATGTCTCAAGAAAGATAGAAATATAAGCTTCATTTTAAATACTTTAACATAGACATATATAAAGCTCAAGTGAAGATACATACGTTTTTATAGTGGCATTCAGTAGCTTGTCGGTCATGGAATGCAGAAGCCTACGCACTTGCCAATATAGTGTGTAATTAACAAAGATACGCTTATAAAGCCTAAAATATTATATGCCTTCAGAAAGACAGAGATATGCTCGTTATTGTGAGTGCACCAAAGGAAATATATCTTGTTGGAGGACAAAGATATATCAATTCTAAAATAAGTTTCGACTCTCGCTCGGGCGAGAGATAGCGCGACTCTCGCCCCATCTATTGGAGATTCTGTTCACCTAATGACCCAAAGCTACTCAAAGCCTCCTAGCATTACTTAAATAATGAAGAAATATGGTATATTTATTCACTATAATGTTGGTGCTTAATGCAGAACACGAGAAAACATATATTTACTATAAAATAATATACTTCCATTATGAAATAAGTAAATATGTGGCCTCATAGGAAGTCAACGGTCCAGGTGTCAATGTTGTGGAGCGACTTATCCAAGATATATTGTTGTCTGGAAAGTGTTTGTTGGCATATCAACCTTCTGTACACAGTGATCCAGTCGTCGCACTTCTCTCCTTAAATGATCGCAAATTTAGTTTATTATATTAACAAGTAGAATACGTATTTCTAATAATATCTAACATAACTAGCCAGAAAATATTTAAGACTTATTGAAAAATACATGTCTGGAAGTTAAATCGACTTCATAGAACAATAGTGTTGGTCTATACTAATCGTTATTCGTTAGTATGCGTTCGCTACTTAAAACATTTACTGTACTCATGTAAAATCTCCCATGTCTCTTCGCACATGGAACACCGAACCTTACACACTCTCTGATATATTGTTTAATTAATAGAGATTCACTAATAAAGCTTATAATTCGCTTAGTCTCCGTGGTGTAGTGGTAAGACACTCGCCTGGCGTTCCGCGAGCGCTATGTCATGGGTTCGTATCCTGGCCGGGGAGGATTTACTGGGCGCAAATCCTTAACTGTAGCCTCTGTTTAACGCAACAGTAAAATGTGTACTTGGATGAAAAAACGATTCTTCGCGGCAGGGGATCGTATTCCAGGGACCGTAGGATTAAGGACTTGCCCGAAACGCTACGCGTACTAGTGGCTGTACAAGAATGTTACAACTCTTGTATATATCAAAAAAAAAAAAAAAAAAAAAAAAAAAAAAAAAAAAAAAAAAAAAAAAAAAAAAAAAAAAAAAAAAAAAAAAAAAAAAAAAAAAATTGTATATGTTATCAAAAAGGCATAGATAAAGTCGTTCTTACGTTTTAGTCACAGAGATTAGATATTAGTAAAGTAAAGTTCATTTTATTCAGGAAAGTACATAAATAGTCGATTTACAAACATAATATTGGATTTATAGATAGAGCTAGTACATACAATACCTAAAGCCACTAGTACGCATAGCGTTTCGGGCATATTATTGAGAGAGGAAAGATATTTATATTTAAACAATTTTTTTTTTTTTACCGACGCTCTCCCTATTGATGAGAACTACAGCCTAATGAAGATAAATGTTAATTTTATATAGATACTGTAATAAACGAAAGTTTTTAATGTCATCAGAGAAGTAGAAATATAGGCAAATTTTAAATCCCTTGTCATAAATATAACTGAAGTGAAAGCAAAGATATATGCATTTTGATAGTTACAAAGACAGCTCTTTAACACGGGTGGAACACGAACAAGGGGAACTTAGTACCCAAATGAGCCACAGAGATATTAGAAAGAATTTTTTCAGTGTCAGAGTAGTTAACAAATGGAATGTATTAAGCAGTGATGTGGTGGAGGCTGACTCCATACACAATTTCAAATGTAGATGTGATAGAGCCCAATAGGCTCAGGAACCTGTACACCTGTTGATTTACGGTTGAGAGTCGGGACCAAAGAACCAAAGCTCAACCCCTGCAAGCACAAATTAGGTGAGTACAACTAGGTGAATACAGCTGAGGGGCGGGACCAAACAGCTGAAGCTCAATTCCCT